GCACAAAACACAAGAGATTTTACAACAAGCCTGGGTGTTAATCTCCGGAAAGGGAAGGAAAAGGGTGTGTAAATGCTCATCAACAAATTTCTTTGTATAGAAACAGCAACTCCCCAAATCGACACTTACTTATGGGGAGGACCACCCCCGGGGCGGGGGTCCGTCGAGGGTGCGGGCCGAACTGAGGTTGTTTTTAGGGGGGAGGAGAAGAGACATATATAATACTTTCAACAATAAAGATTTAAAAATAAATACTATAAAATCTGACATTGTGGCCCCGCCGGGGTGGCTCAGTGGTTGAGCATTGACCTATGCCCGGGGAGGTTGAGGTTCGATTCCCGGTCAAGGCACATGCCCGGGTTGTGGGATCAATCCCCAGTAGAGGGCGTGCAACAGGCAGCTGATCAATGATTCTCTCTCGTCATTGATGTTTCTATCTATCTCTCTCTCCCTTTCCCTTCCTCTATCTGAAATCAATATATATTTTTTCAAATATATTTCATTGATTTTCCACTGAGAGGAAGGAGAGAGAGATAGAGAGTTAGAAACATCGATGAGAGAGAAACATCGATCAGCTGCCTCCTGCACATCTCCTACTGGGGATGTGCCCGCAACCCAGGTACATGCCCCTGACGGGAATCGAACCTGGGACCCTTCAGTCCGCAGGCCGACGCTCTATCCACTGAGCCAAACCGGTTCCGGCTGAAATCAATAGATTTTGATCAAAATATTGTGTCGTTTTTTTAAAAAAAAACTGACATGTGTAGGGGGCAACCTCTGGGTATAGACTTCTGAGGGAGCCAATCAGAGAGAGTGTGGAATATTGATAAGGGGGCCTGGACAACGTGGTGGGCGGAGCTTAGAGGAAAAGACTGCATTTCTTGCAACACAGGGGCCTGAGGGGCGAGTCTCTTTCGCTAGGAGACTGGTGATCGGGTGCTGAGGGCCTCCAGGGGAGGAGTTGGGGATGAACAGACACCCCAGGTTGGAGCAGCTGGGCCAGGTGCGTGGCTTGTAACTCACCCATCATCTCCCTCCGCGCGGGAGGCCCTGCCCAGCGCGCGGATCCATCCGCGCAGGTCCTCCAGGGTGTCGGCCGCCAGGACGTAGGTCCTCATGCCGGGATGCTCCGCCTGCGGGGAGAGAAAGCTGGCAACCAGGGCGCCCGGGCCCTCCAAACAGGGGGGTGGCATCCATCCTGGCCAAGATCTTTGATCTACAATAAAGGTCCCCAATGCCTCCCGCATCGCCTAGTGCACAGCGCATCGGGGGATGGAGGGACTCACGGTGAAGGTGAAGCGCCGCCCCCGGGGGGCTCCGGGCCCGTCCGGCCGGACGCTGTAGCTGGGGAGCAGAACGCTGCCCAGGACGCTCTCCTCGCGGCTGTCTGCAAAGAGAGGGCCCGAGGTCAGGGGTCACACAGAGATCAGAAGGCAAAGAGGCTCCGTTCTCAACCTGTGGGTCGCGACCCCTTTGGGGGGCGAACGACCCTTTCACAGGGGTCGCCTAAGACCATCGGAAAACACATATATAATTACATATTGTTTTTGTGATTAATCACTAGGCTTTATGTTCAATTTGTAACAATGAAAAGACATCCTGCATATCAGATATTTACATGACGATTCATAACAGTAGCAAAATTACAGTTATGAAGTAGCAACGAAAATAATGTTATGGTTGGGGGTCACCACAACATGAGGAACTGTATTAAAGGGTCGCGGCATTAGGAAGATTGAGAACCACTGGGCTAGAGGAAAGGGAGGGGCGTCCCTTGCCCCATGCCGGCTGCGGTACTGACCCTTGTAGTAGAAGAGGCAATGGCCAGAGAGGACGAACCAGCGGCGTTTCCAGAGCCGGAGCCCGGAGCTGTCCTGGGGAGAGAGGGAGGAGAGGATGAGGAGTGGGTCCGGGAAAGGAGATGGAGACGGTGACACTTGGGGACAAAGACTCGGAGAGAGGAGAGGACGGAAACACGTCTGATGCAATAGATGCAGACTGGAGGACAGGAGGTTGAGAGGAGGTGAGATTCTGGATACAGTCAGACCTGAGTTCGACTCCCAGCTCCACCACTTGCAGACTACACCCTTACACAGTCATTTTCCTACGGGGACCCTCGGGTGTTCTCATCTGTCAACTGGGGGTTAAGAAGTTACGGAAGCCGTGGCCGGTTTGGCTCAGTGGGTAGAGCATGAGCCCGCAGACTGAAGGGTCTTGGGTTCGATTCTGGTCAAGGGCATGGACCTCGGTTGGTTGCAGGCTCAATCCCCAGCCTCAGGTCGGGGCAGGTGCGGGAGGCAACCAATCGATGTGTCTCGCTCACATCGATGTTTCTCTCTCTGTCTCTCCCCCTCGCTTCCACTCTCTCTAAAAATCAATGGAAATATCCTCCAGTGAGGATTAACAAAAAATAGAGAGAGAGAAGTTACGGGAAAGTTGGAACAGATACATGCCTCTTGTGGGCAGGGGCTGGATATATCTGATGATTCTGGAGCCTGAGACACAGAGAGGCCCAGAAGGTGGCACTGAGTTATAACCTGAATCCTGCATCTCCCCATCCTCTCTCTGCCAGCACTACTCCACTGCCAACCTGGGCCCCTCTTCTCTTCAATCCCTGCCCACGGAAGCAATAGAATCTTTCAAAGTAAATCAGATCATGTGAGTCCCCTGCTCAAAAACAGAGCTTACCATCACACTTAGAATAAGTCGCCAATTCCTTACCCTGGTTCACTGGCTTCCAGGGTATTTGAAACTTGGGCGTGCAGAGGACTCACCAGGAGGCCTTGTCAAAACCCGGTTCCTGGGCCCAGTCCCCAGGGTTCAGAGTCAGTGGACCTGGGATGGAGCTTGACAGCTCGCCTGTCCAGCAAGTTCCCGGGTGCTGCTGGGGCTGCCAGCCTGGGACACACTTTGAGAATCACTGCCTCTCTGTCCCCTTGGCTTCTCCAGGCATCCAGCGTTGGCCTGCGGTGGGGCCTTTTGCTTTCGGATTCCCTCTGCCCCCCAGATCTTAGCATGAGGGGCTCCTTCTTGTCATTCAGTTCTCAGCTCAAATGTATGTCACCCGCTCAGAGACGCCTTCCCTGACCAACAGACAAAGGTAGCTTTCATCCCTCAGCCACTTTAGAAAACGTCCCTGTATTAGTTTTTCACAGCACCTCATTTCACAGAAATTCCTATGATCTGAAATCATCGATTTCACATGGACTTTATTTACATACTAGAGGCCCAGTGCACGAAATTTGTGCACCCAGGGTGGGAAGGTCCCTCAGCCCAGCCTGCGCCCTCTCGCAGTCCGGGAGCACTCGGGGGATGTCTGACTGACGGCTTAGGCCCGCTCCCCACAGGGACATCCTTATCACTGCCACAGAGGCAGGAGAGGCTCCTGCCATCGCCACTGCGCTCACCAGCCATAAGCCCAGCTTCTGGGCATCTGCCCCCTGGTGGTCAGTGCACGTCACAGCGACCGGTCATTCTGCCGTTCAGTCTAGTTGCATATTAGCCTTTTATTATATAGGATTATATACAACGTATTATTTCACTCCTTCCATTTATTTGTATACTGATTTGTTAACCATCCCTCCCCCACCCCCATCCTGAATGGACTATGGATACTTGGCCTATGTGCGTGGTATGTGGCCCTGGGCTTGGCACACTGTCATGTCGAAGAAGTTGTCACTGAATGAAGGAATGGATGAATGAAACCATGACAGAATAAGGGGAGAATGAATGAGAGCAAAAAGCAACACAAAACAACCCCCCTGTGGGGGCTTAGAAAGAGAGAAAGAGCAGGCAGC